TTGTTGGGGGCAATATGCTGACTCTCTGTAAACCGCTTAGAGAGGCCTGAAAGGCCTATGAAGCGGTATATAAGTCTACTGCTATTGCTATTTACGGGAACTGCTGGCAATGCCAGATAGATTTTTCAAAATGTCTGAAAAGAAGTATTTAGTTCTACATGTACCAATGATAATACTTTTATGAATGCTTCCCCAGTGGTCAGTGTTCACTGTTTTTATTTTGCTTTTATAATTTACCTTAAGCTATGTTAATGTCTGAATATCAATAATCTCTGACAATAGTTTGCATATTTTACTTGCCTGTTCGGTATTTAAAATATGTTGAAGCCAGTGAGAAGCAAGATAAGAACATAACACAAGTACCAAGATATTAAAAAGCATTGTCTGTAATTTTAATTTCTTTTTTTAAAAAATTACCACCCATATTTAAAATTAAATATCTAAACCTTGTGATTGTTTCCATTACATATTTTACTTCAGCCATGTACTTAACTAGATAGATTAGCTAGCCAGTAGCCAAATTATTGGCTTACATTACACTATTGTAAAGTGTAACTTAGATAATTAACGGCTCTTAGTATAGTGAGTGCTATAAAAATAATATTTTTAAATGCATACTTTAATTATATGGTTGTGAGTGAATTAAAAATCACTTTGTTATGGTGCTTTTCTACTTAGGAATTATGCTTAACTTCTGCAATATAAAAGCACAATGTAAATTTTAAGCAGATTTGTTTAAAGGTATTTTTGGTGGGTTTTTTTAAAATATGCGTACAACAGAAGCCTTAATAATAGAGTAGATAAGTTGTTTCAGAACACTTTTATATTGTGATTTATTCCATACAAATCCAGATAGCGGGTTTAAAGTAGAAGTTAATTGAGCAAGAATAATTACATCATCATCATCATTTTAACCCTTGACTATCCACTGCAGGACGAAGGCCTCTTCTGAATTTTTCCAACCAATACAGTCCTGAGCTTTCTTTTGCAAATTGGGCCCACAATACTTGCTGATGTCATCGTTCCATCTTGTTTTAAGGGTTAGGGCAGATTTCAAACTAAGTTATGCTGGTTGGAGAATTCTGGGAGTTGAAGTCCACAAGTCTTAAAGTTGCCAAGTTTGGAGACCCCTGGGTTAGGGGTTAGGGTTATGAAAAGTAGTTACATAAACAGAATATTCCATTTTGCCTCCTTTCAAATCACATCTAGGCTGTGCTGAAATAGCAGATGAAGTTTACATGGAAGTAATTGTTGGTGAAGAGGAAGCCTCCTCACTCCCCGATGCACAGCTTGAAGATGCTGGTGTGAATAAAACGTTTGTTCCAGTTGCCTGGGCTGCCGCTTATGGTAAGATGTTACATTTTTCTTTAACTCGAACCCTTCTCATCATTCTGCTTACTACTTCTAGAGCAGCAACCTTAAACACTCAAAAGAGCCACAACGGTCCTAATCAGAAGCCCTCCATTCAATTCTGGAGCCGACCGGAAGTCCAGTTTCCCCACCATAGAGTCTCCTAGCATGGCGTCCTTTTTCCTCTACCTATCCTAACCGAAAGCCCTATCAATTGTAGAGCTGACCGGAAAACCCACCTGTTGCCATAGTTTCCTCCTGGCGCGCTCTGTTCCCCCCCCCCAAAAAAACCCGTAAGCTTCTCTCAAAATTGTGGTGCCGACTGGCGACAGGGAGCCGCAGCAGAAGGATGAAAGAGCCACATGCAGCTCCAGAGCCGTGGGTTGCTGACTCCTGTTCTAGAACCTTGCTCATGTTGTGGAGGGTTGGTTTCTCTCCCCCCCCCCCCCCCCCAATTTCATTCCACCTGAAGTCAAGTCTCCTTCGAGTCAAACTTGACCTTTGGTGACTGAGAGAAGATTTCTGAAATGACATCTTCCAGTTGACTGCTTGGTATTAGAAAATAAGGCCTGATTTTGTTCAAACCACCCATTTGATTAAGCACATTTAAATGTTCTAAATATAACTGCAGAAAGTTATTAATTCCCCAATTCCTTTTGAATCCTGGGACTTTCTCTTTTCTGTTTTCATATCAAATAATAAAAGCAGCTGACCTTACCTGCTATAATTACAGTGTCATCTAAATAAAAGAGGCTTGGAATGCAGAATATTGCCTATTAATTAATCCAAAAGTATTGTCAGATATCCTGGGAGCTCTGTCAGAGTCCGTGATGCTGGTTGTGTGGGTCAGTGCATATGTATGCGTGTTTGTGTGTGTGTGTACTTGTGTGTACAGTATGAAAAAGAAGATGAAGGTTGTTAGGCAGGTTTGTTTAGTTGTTTAGTTACCTAACACATATTTTTCACGATACTATAAACAGAACATCTGAAGGCCAATTGCTGCTGTTTCGTCTGCCTGGCATAATTATATCCACAGCATAAAATGGGTTCTTGGACATCAAAGTCTATCTGTATTTTTTTTTCCCTTGGAAGCAACAGACAGCAAGCCTTAGTTTTTAAATATAAGATACATGATTGTGTTTTGATTTTGTATGGCACTCTTTGGAATCCTTACAAAGAAAGTTTCGGCAATTAATTACTCCTTGTTTTGTTTTTCAACTATTTTACAGTAGCAGCGCACAAACTGTTAGCTGTGTGCAAAACCTCTTGTTTTTCTCCTGGATCAAGGAGATCCAGTCAGCCATTGCAAGGACAGTCTTCTGAACTGGAGGGCTTGTGGTGTTCTCATTAAATCGAGGCCCATTTGGGGGTTGGGCTGCATCCAGAACACCAGAAACTACTTTTGGTTGCGCTCCCCCCCCCCCCTTAAAAATGAAGAAAAAACTAGCTTCAGAAAACTTCTGGAGGAGCATGCTCCAGAAGAGAAACAAAATGTAATGTAATTAAGTTCTTGGGAATGTTCCGTTCCCAGAATGATAGATATTGCACATCCCCCACTGTTTGTGAATTAAATCACTAAACTGCTTATTTCTCTAGGGGATGATAGAAGACTTCCAAGGAAATATGAAGACTGTCAAACACCAGGTGAGAAGATGAAGAATTGTTCCATGCTTAGTATAAATATTGCTCCTTTTGCTGTACAACACAGAACAATCCATGTCTTTTAAAATAACTCAGAGTTAAAATTGAAAAGGTGGGAATATTAATACATAGAGATGCTACTTGAATATAGCTATCGAGAGGGACAACCATGGGTGCCACTATATCAGGTTAATAAATATGGGAACAATGAGTAAAATACTTATTTTCCTTCCTCTGAGAAAATTTCTGAAATTCAGCACAAACATAAACAGTGATACACTATTGCTTCGTATATGATGCATTAAAGAGAAGTTTGAAGGCTTTCTGGGGTTCTGGCATCATAAAATAGAATCCTTTCACACATCAAAGGCTCTACAAATGCTTTCTGCTTTAGTTTTGTAAATCAGGTATTTTAAAGCTCTTAACTTGCAACATTCTGATGTTATCTTTCATTCCAGGAACAAACTTAGATGCACGATTGGAGAACAAGAATGGTAACACAACTCAGTATCTCCAAATCTGTGACAGTATTAATACGAACAGATTGCTTAAGCAGAAGACCAAGAAAAGGAGAAGAGGTGAAGCTCGCCAATGGCAAACAGGTAAAACAACCTTCTAGAAAGTTATTATCCAATTAAATATAGCTTTTCACATAGCTAACCTTTCTACTTCTGTCAGGATTTTTTTGGCAAAAAACAATAGTCTTTTTTTTTTGTACAGTCTCTTAATCACTTCCTATTATCTTCTTCCCAGCAAATTTTGAAACTACTTGGTGTAATCTACCACCAATTGTTTTGGGTAAAATCAAGTTTTCTCGTTGTAAGACGCCCTGTCCATTTCTTTGAGGACATAACCTATTAATTAACACGTGTGCTTTGATTACAAGGCCATATTTTTCTCCTTCATGTTTTTCCCCTAGACTTTTAACCACCTTGCTTGATGAGACGTTCTTAAAAACTTGAAAGGGTACAATTTTATTGGCCAAACAAAAGTGTTGTTTCAAAATGGTCTTTGAATTTAAGTCAGAGCGGATTTCTTATATCATACTTTTTCACTTAGTAAGCCGCTATCTGCCTGATAAGTTTCAATAGGAAAAAGGATGGATTGAAAATGACAAAGAGGCAATTCATTTGTCTTCTCCTGTTTTCTACAAGCAGCCATCATTAAATTATATTTAATATCCATTCTTGATAGCATAAATAGAATGCTAAATAAACCTGAGTTTTTCAAACAGTTTATTTAGGAGCAAATTATGTTGCCAGTGAAATAACGAAACATACATTTTCTAATACCTATATGGCATGTTGAATAGAGGGTGTCTAACCTTTAGATCATAAATATTTATATTTATTAAGGTGTGGAAAAAAAGATGTTAGTCAAGAGACATGCCCGTTTTTGAATGTTTAATGAATCCAGCAGCATCTACAGATAGGGTTGAAGCAGGCAAGATGGCAGTCATAGTATCACAATTCACACAGATGTTGCACCATGTCAAAAGGTTGCGGCTTTGACTATGATCCTCTTACTGCTGTCATACTTCTTTTGATCCTTCACGAAGCTCCCCAATTGAGTTAAAAATTTTGTATGTCAGATTTTGGGGTAAATACATTATGTTCATTGTAGAATTGGGAAAGAGTGTAAATAACCATTCGGTTATAGAAAATTAATGTGATTAAAGAAGATAGATAAACTAATACTTGTTTTGGGAAAACTAGAAAACTTAATTGTTGATTTGAAATAATAGATCTTAATTCTTTAAATTTTACTTGTTAAAAGTTTGTCCTGTAATACAAACTATAGATTATTTTAGAGGATTAGAACTGGGAATATGCTGAATTGCTTAGCGGAGTGAGTGTCTAGGTACATTTGCAATATTTATAGAACTATAGCTTAAAAAGTGACTTTACTCTTAGTGTATTGTCAGTTTTTATAAGGATTTTGATTGTCACTTCCTGGAAATAAGGTTTCATTTAATTCAACAAAATGTTTACGTCTGAGTAGTTCTATCGTGTGTTGGTTTGCATTGTTAGCTATTGAAAGATTTGCTTTCTTTTCTGTTGCTATTGCATTCTGTGTAATTTTACAATAACCTTTACATAGTTTATTTCATAATTCTTTCTGTTTATTTGACCCAGCTGTTATAATAGGTCCCGACGGACAGCCCTTGACAGTCTACCCTTGTCACATATGTGGGAAAAAATTCAAGTCCAGGGGATTCTTGAAAAGGCATATGAAAAACCACCCAGATCACATGATTAAGAAGAAATACCAGTGCACAGACTGTGACTTCACAACCAACAAAAAAGTCAGCTTCCACAATCACCTGGAAAGCCATAAGCTGATCAACAAAGGGGACAAAACGCACGAGTTCACAGAGTACACCAGGCGCTACCGAGAAGCCAGCCCATTGAGCTCCAACAAGCTCATCTTGCGCGATAAAGAACCCAAACTCTACAAGTGCAAATATTGTGACTACGAAACCGCGGAGCAAGGCCTGCTGAACAGGCACCTGCTTGCGGTTCACAGCAAGAACTTCCCCCACGTTTGCGTGGAGTGCGGGAAAGGCTTCCGCCACCCTTCGGAGCTGAAAAAACACATGCGGACCCACACGGGGGAGAAGCCTTACCAGTGCCAGCATTGCGTCTTCCGTTGTGCGGATCAGTCCAACCTGAAGACGCACATCAAAACCAAGCACGGGACGGACCTGCCCTTCAAATGCGAACACTGCCCGCAGGCCTTCCCCGACGAGAAGGAACTGCAGCAGCACACGGAACTCTTTCAGGGGCACAAGACGCACCAGTGCCCGCACTGCGACCACAAGAGCACCAACTCCAGCGACCTGAAGCGGCACATCATCTCCGTTCACACGAAGGACTTCCCTCACAAATGCGAGGTCTGCGAGAAAGGTTTCCACCGTCCCTCGGAGCTCAAAAAGCACAGCGAGAGCCACAAGGGGAAAAAGATTCACCAGTGTCGGCACTGCGATTTTAAGACTTCCGACCCTTTTGTACTCAGTGGGCACATCCTCTCCGTTCACACCAAGGACCTGCCTTTTAAATGCAAACGGTGTAAGAGGGGATTCCGGCAGCAGATGGAACTCAAGAAGCACATGAAGACGCACAGCGGGAGGAAAGTCTATCAGTGTCAGTATTGCGAGTACAGCACGACGGACGCCTCGGGCTTCAAGCGGCACGTCATATCGATACACACAAAGGACTACCCTCACAGGTGCGAGTATTGTAAAAAAGGCTTCCGGAGACCTTCGGAGAAAAACCAACACATCATGAGGCATCACAAAGAGTCCCTCATGTAGCATCGGGTGCTGCGGGAAGACAATGTGATAGATAGGGGAAGGAAACTCTCATGAACTGTTTCTCCTGGTTTCAAAGCTTGATCTTAAACCATAACTTTGCATTCTTTGTATTAAAAGTCTTTAAAAAAAAAAAGTATTACGGTCGACTGGGTATCTCATAGCCCTATGATTGTTGCTTATAGGAACCTAACGAGCACTATAAACGCGGAGAGATGAATGTTTTGAAGAAGCTGCAGAGACCTTGAATGTCTTCTGTTAATTAGAAAGCGTTACACGTTATGAAGCGAAAGAAATATTAAGTCCATTCCCGTAACTCTTTATATCAATAACGCCATTTGTCACCTTAACGAAAACCAGAAGTTCTTTCAAAGTGTTTTGCTGGAACAAATTATACCACACGCAGTTTCGAACAGTGAAGTTAGATAGAAGTCAGTCATGTAGTCCTTACATTTTTTTTTAAAATTAAAGAAAATTGTGCTGGGACATAGTATTCGAGAAATGGGTCAAATTTTAAGATCTGTCCTTTTTTTCCTTTTGTTTTTTATTTTAAAGCAATCGTAACATTTCATTACGTAAACCTTTTAGTTTTCCTCCCTTTCGTCGTTGAATGAGCAATTTCCAAAGTTTTCTTTCAGAGCTGCTAACCTTTTTTACTACAGGATATCGTGTTGAAAAATACAGCATTATGTTTTCCGAGATCAAAAGTTTGGTGCTAGGGACCGAGAACATGTATGTACATAATTTCCCTTTTTACCTGAAACTACAGCTGAATGTTTAATACGGCACATGTATTACGATGACAAGTAACTTTTGACCAATGTTATTTTTTAAAAAAAGAAGTTAAAAAAAACCCTGATAGATGCAGTTATGGGGCACTGCTTTTTCTTTTCTTGTGATTTCACAACCGTCTTTAAGAGAGTATCAAGGTAGAAAGACACCAGCTGTTGGAAAATCCTAGAGAATCTTTCAAAAGCAGTGTTTCTAGTGAGTCAGCATCCATGGCCCTGACTTGCTATTAATCTTTATTTTTTAAACGAAATCATTATAGAAACGAAAATTGCACCTTTTAAAAGAATTCATACGAAGCGTATACCATGCTATAAAACTTGCATTCTCAATCTGTATGGAAGTTATGTATGCAGTATTTAACCCGAACAGTAAACTGCCACTTGGGGGCAGAAACGGATTTTCAGTTTACAGTGTATACATTTGAAATACGCATCCCTTTAAACAATGCTTTGTGTTAGCATGCTGCAAAAATGCCGCTTAATATAACAAGCTGGTCTAGGGCTATTTAATAATTTAAAAAAAAAAAAACCCTTCAGAAATGTTATACATGCGTGTCCTTTTTTAAATAAAAACGTTTTAAGTTGCTTCATGTTTGCACACAGCTGTTCACATGATAAAATTGTAACTTTTAATTCATTCATGCTACTATATTGTGGTTTTGTGTTTCAGATAATGTTCATACTTTGTTTTTGCACCAGATGAGAATCAGTTCCTTGAGAAATAATTTTTTTATATATATATATTTCCAACCTTCGGAAAGTTAACTTTGGGAAACCATAGGAAACTACTTGTGTTTTATGTGGCTGTATAAATGATGTACACGCTGTAAAATAAGATTGTCACTGTTACGTGGGATTATTATTTTAAAATGTGTTACTCATTGTAATGAGCATACAATAAAATGCATCTCTTGCACTCCAAACTCAAGAACCTTTATATTCCTTTCTGCTGCCAAACAAGTGACACACACTCCTAATTTATGTACTTAAATTTCTCGCTTACTGTGATTATTATGACACAAAAGTACCAGAAAAACCTGTCTTCAGGTTCCTTCCCAATGCAAAAAGTTCCATTTAGTTTCAGTATCATAAAACAATTGTTTCTTCCATCTGCAGTAATTTTGGTCTTCACACATGCAGGAGTGCCGGAAAACAGAAAAGCTGACACCCGGCACACATGCACGCACATGGCAGCTGGTCTTCTGGTTTCCAGCACATACATGCACACTAGGAAGCTGCTCATCCAGTTTCCAGCATTCATGCGCGCTCCCATTTTGGCACTCTGCCGAAAAGATTTGCCAACACTGGTCTAGTAGAAAAATTCAGTATGTTTCTATACAGGTAATCCTTGACTTAGCACAATTGAGCCCAAAATTTACGATGCTAAGTGAAACATTTTGAGTTTTGCCCAATTTTACGACTTTTCTTACTGCTGTTAAGTGAATCATTGCAATAGTTAACACAGGTGTTAACCGAATCTGGCTTCCCTATTGACTTTGGCTTGGCCGAAGGTTGCAAAAGATCACATGACCACCCCCACCACCCCAGGACACTGCAACCGTCATAACTCTGAATCAGTTGCCCAACATCTGAATTTTGATTGTGCGACTATGGGGATGTTGCAATAGTTATGTGAAAGTGGTCATGTCACTTTTTTGGGGTGCCGTTGTAACTTTGGATGGTTGCTAACTGTAAGTTGAGGACTACCTAACAATAATAAAGATCATTTTCCAAAATTTCTCTTTTAGGATTTCCCTGGTAAGATAAGTACATCTCTTGGTTGCATCTTAACAAGTTTGATCACGTGAGATAGTAGCATTGGGGTTTTTTGTCCTGTGGAATACAGATTCCCCAAATATTCTAATCATGAGGCCTATTTGGCAGATTATGTACAAAATTGAGAAACATTGATTTTGTCACAAAACTTAAAAGTACATTTGATTTAAGCCCATTTGGCAGTTCACGTTTAAATTGTCACTTAAGCATGGTAGACAAACCTAAAATGTGCTTTGGGATTTGTAAAATTTATGGTTTTTCCAGCACTCTTCATAGTCTTGAAATTCCTGAATGGCTTGATTTCCCCTCCCATGTTTAATTATGCACACACACAACACCCCACACCCACACACTGAGGAAAGAGACCATCTTAAAAGTAAATGTGGTTTATTAAATGGCTGTTAGTTCATAGGATGCATTAGCAATTGTGCAGCATGTCATAGACATTTGCCCCAAACATTAACACTTAAAACTCTTGTGATTTGTGTAGCTCAACTACGAGATGTGGACTGCGGACATTCGGATAACAGCAGAAAAAGGGGCTATCAAGTGCCAGGTTGTGTAGTTTTAATCAAAATATTTTAACATCATCTAAAACTTTAAAAGTGGCTGAGAAATTGACATCACACGCCTGCTAAAATTACTTGCACATCATGCAATTGTTTTAAATGTCAAAGGAGGCCCTTTGGGTTTGTACATTTTATGTTTTTTAAAGAAAGGCTATTCTACTAGTTAATATTATTTTAGAAATTTACAAGGACACAGATTCTAGAATGACACATGTTGTGTGCCTAAGATGAACAGTTAAATGCCCAGTTTTATTTACGTAGCGACAACCTGCAGAAACATGAGATCTACACCGTCTAAACTTAGAAATGTGTTTTTTTTTAAATTTAACCAAGAGAGTCAGTTGTATTCTTGTATATTATCACAGATTTATTCAAGGTTGTCCATGTCAATTCCAAAAAATGACTTCACCCAGGGGAAGGAAAGACGACAAACAATTACCATAGCCACAAAACAGAACTTTGCAAGAAAACCCACTGGCGTTTGATAGCTGCAAAACAGCTCTTAAAATTTAAAACATTTTAAACCCTAACGTTTTCCTTCTGTGAGATATTGAGCAAATGGTTTGAGATTATGTTGAGAATATCGAAATACGCTTAATTCATTTTCATCCGTTTCCAAATCCAACTTTGTCCTTTTGTGTGTACAGCTAGTCCTTGACTTACCACAATTCATTTAATAACCGTTCAAAGTTACGATGACATTGAAAAAAGTGACTTATGACCCTTTTTTTCTACACTTAGGACCATTGCAGCATCCTCATGGTCAGGTGATCAAAATTCAGATGTTAGGCAACTCATATTTAGGATGGTTGCAGTGCCCCGGGGTCACCTGATTCCCTTTTGCGACCTTCTGGCAAGGAAAGCCAAAATCACTTAACCACGTTACTACGTAATTTGACCACTATTGTGATTCACTTCTCAACTGTGGCAAGAAATGGGGCAAGACTCACTTAACAATTGTCTTGCTTAGTGACATAAATTTTGGGCTCAGTTGTCGTAAGTCGAGGATTACCTGTTTGGTTGACTGTTCAACTTGCAGCAATACTATAGATCGGGGCAGCAACCCGTGGCTCTGGAGCCGCAAGTGGCTCTTTCATGCCTCTGCTGCAGCTCCCCGTCACTCAGAATAACCGCCAATGTGTGATACCCACCGGCACGCAATTTATTGAGCTTTTCAACCCCCGGTAGGTCAACCATGGATAAATCCAAGAAAAAAAAAAGTTTCAGAAGAAAACATTTAATTCAACTACCTATGCTAGTTCTATGGGCGCTCAGGAAATAAGTCAGTCATGGGAAAGATTTTGTGGTTCCCAGTGTTGTGGTTTTTTTTTCTGTGGGAAATGGGTCCAAATGGCTCTTTCCAGTGTTTAAGGTTGCCAATCCCTGCTATAGATCAAGGAAGCCAGAGAGAAATGCGAGCTTCAACACTTTCACTCTGGCAAGTCAGAAAACATGATAAATTCCAAGTAATATCGCATATGTGTTACCATTGTGAGCTGATGCTTAAATAGATTCAGCTGCCTAAGAATAAAAGGTCTATAATGGAACTAATCTGAGTTGTTTTATTTATTAAATTTCTATGCCCCCCCCCCCCTTGTTATCCAGAGTGGCTCTGGGCACTCAAATCTCTGACTTGTGCATCTAAAAGCCATTATCGGTAAAGACATTCAATAATTGTTTAGAATTGTGAATAATAACTGAAGCACATTCTCCATATTTTCAATTCTTTTGAAATCACAACATTAACAGAGGCGCAGAGTTTATTTTCCATTTCTTCAAAGCTCTCTCTAAAAACACAACTTCTAAGTAGGAGCTTGACCCGACTTGAAATTTAAATCTCAATCGGAATTCCTTCTACGGAAGTTGGCCCAGACCTGGGGCCTTCAAACAGTTGGGTTGAAGTTTCAGATTATCTGTGTTTATTATGATTTAAGTTTATTATTATTTTGTATTTCAGATCTATGTGTGTGTGTTTTTAAAGAACGTTGATGAACAAAAGGCAAATGTTTTTCGGGGCCAAAGATGGGAGATGAAATAAACCTCTTGTCAAAATAGGAAATGAAGTGACATCAAAAGCTGACTCATGTGTTTAAAAGCATGAGTCAATTATTGAATGTCTTTATCAAGACATTCAATAATTGTTTAGAAAAAGCTTTTACTCCTGGGAAATCTTTTGTCTTGAGAGACTACAGTATAAAGAACACAGCCTCGGAGCTATTTACCGGTTCCCTCGTCTAAAAGTCAAACATCTATATATGTGTCAAACATCTATATCTGTGTACCAAATTTCAACCAAATTTGACTTAGTCTCTGGAAACAAATATTGTGGGGGGTAAGACATACCCAAAGCCCCTCAGGCTGCGTGTTCTGTTAAGATGCAGCCTGTTGTGCCTTCAAATGGCTTCTACTGTATAGCACAGTGGTTGTCATGGTAATGGCTTCACAGTACTCTACAAAGTGGGGGCTCCCTCTGATAAGGGGAAAAAAATCCAACATTAGAAATAATGTTTGGTCCGGATATTTCCCCCCTATAAATAAATACTCAGGCAACACCGGATTATCGGCTAGTAGCTTATAAAAGCCAGGAGTTTCTTTATTTCCATAGTTGGGGTTTAACCTGGCTTCATAGATCTCTGCAACAAAAATGGAGGTAAAGAATATTTTTCATATACTATTCTACAGAGATTCTGCATTCTGGGCCTGGTAGCCACATGCCCATCAATCTGGAAGCAAAGTTCAACATTGACGTCAATATTAGTTGCACCATCAATGTGGCATCACAACATAGGATGCTCCCTTGCGTTGACCAATAACTGCAAGCTCTTCAGTCTCAAATCCTAAGGCCAATTTTGAGACAGGCTCTTACACACCTTTCTATAACCCCTTGCGTTATTTTCATTTGTAAAGTTAGTTGATTCTGAAGGGGGGGCTTTTGGTGCTCTCTCAGCCTGGTTGTTTTCTTGCAGACCTTTCATTACCAAACCAGGTAACATCTTCAGGGCTAGACGCGAGTGGGCTTTGCTCTCTGCTTATGTACAAGACGTAATTAAGGACCCTCACTCCCTTCTAGCATTGATGATAATACCTAGTTTGGCAATGAAACATCTGCAACAAAACAACCAAGTTCAGAGAACATCAAGGAGCGTGTGTTGTGGCCTGCCAGAGGCCAGCTGAGCTGGCAACAGATTCGGACAGTGAGGAGATTGGAGAGGAACATGGGCCAGTCCTGAAGTCTGGGGAAGCCTCTGATGAGGGCTCTGCGTCAGAGGCAGAGAGGGGGCCAGGACTATCTGACAATGATCAGCTGCCTTCAGAGTCAGACATCAGTGAGGCAGGCAAACAGCTGGAGCCTGTTCCCAGTGCGGGCATGCATAGAGTTGCCAAAGGAAGGGAACAGCTAAAGAACGGGTTGACTTGGGAGTAAGGTCACAGGTGGATGATGAATGGCCCCTCCCAGAGGAAATAAAAGAGGAGCGAAAGGGGAGTGGAATTTGCAGGAAACAATTTGTTCAATTAATTGGCTCGTGACTCTCCCGAGACTCCTTGCCAAGTTCTGCAAATATCGGCCTGTCAGCTCT